GTGGGAGGGGAGCTGGAATGCCTATTTTGAGGTGGCCTTGCTTTAGAGAAAACTGCATGATATTTGGGGGGAGGGAAAGTGACAGCACTAGCCCCTGGGTCTTGTCAAGGTCAGATTCAAGGCAGACTTTGACTGAAGCTGGTTAATATATTTATTCTGAAGCCTAATGCAATCCAAAGACGCATTGTTTATTTACATCTTTGCTAAATTCTCCAGGTCGCCTTTTAAAACCTCATCCCATAAACAAATTTCCTTTTAAATCCATTCTCTTGGGTGGAGAGATGGTGCCCACCTGTTTTTCAAGTTCTCCATTTACAGTGTTTGTTTTTCTTATTTCTGATGAATCACAGAACCAAGCTAGTCTCCCAGACATAGTTCCAGAGAGAAGCAGTGTTCATTTTCTTACCACAAAGTAGCTGAAAGGCCAGTGTTTCTAATAGGAGGCAACACCAGGAAGCCATGTCAGGACAGAGCTCCATTGCTGGTTTAAATGGAATGACTGACAAAATGAACCAAGAAAGCTATAGAATGAAAGCTGAAAAGGCAATTCTCCCTAAAGAGAAAGAAAACACAGGGCTTGATTCTCCACTCAATTTTAAATTTACTTCACTATGAGGACTAGCTACATAAATTGTGGGACCCATGGCAAAATGAAAATGCGTGGCCTTTTGTTCAATAATTACCAAGAATTTCAAGACAGAGAAGCGTGAAACAAGCTCAGAGTCCTGTGTGACTGCACAGATCACAAGCTCATGAAACTGGCCTTGTCCCTGAAATAGACCCACAAGAAGGTTCCAAACTAGGGTAAGGAGAGTTAGGCATTTGCCTCAGGTACAAAATTTAAAGAAGTGTCAAAAAACTCAGTAATCAAGACAAGCAATATTAAAATGCAATATTGTAAAACCTCAAAATTAATGTGTGAAATTTTAGACAAAATATCAATGTTTTAAACAAGGACAGAGTTTTAAATCAAAGACCCTGAATGTGCACGACTCACCTTAAATCTTGCTTCACTCACGTCACCCTAGTCCTAGCCCAGCCTATGGCCCAGCCTCTTGTTTATTTGTCAGTGTACCCAGGTTCCCCAGGCTCCTCGACCAGCCCACATAACAACACAACACAAAAACGTCAGTGAGGAGCAGGATGTTGAACAGACTTCCTTTAGAGTGACAGGAATTCGACAGGCAGAAAGCAAGACTGGAAGACCAGGCAGTGAGGAATCATGGTGGAACTAGGAAGCAAATCCTTACGGGTCCACAGTGACCACCTCCTTGCCAGTCCACAGTTAATGCAAGGATTTCCGATGGAATCAATGGAAGGTACACAAGTGTTTCCTGGGGTTGAAACTAGTGCTCACATGGCTTTCGGAAGATCTGAAAATAATGAATTTGTTCTTATGAAGGAAAATAAGGACGTGGAACAGGAAGAATGTGGAAATATTTCAATAGACTTTACATAATGACGGTAAGATGAGTATCTCTACAGAGGAGGGCAAGAACTAGTGACGGGCATAATGGAGGAAGGCAGAAAGAAGGTCATCTCCCCTGGGGTATTTTAGGAACAAGAGTAACACTCAGGAAGAGGCAGTCGTGTCACTGCAGAGGAAAAAAACTGCTGGGTGATGGACTAGAACTTGAGCCAAACCAGAGCGGGCGAGGAGGACGACTCTCCTTCGAGGCAGGCTGAAACAGTTCAAATGTTTGAGAGATGTTTGTTGCAAAGGGACGTGACAAAGTTCCTGGTTCTGTTCACAGAAGAACTGTGGGTTCCAAAGTCTTAGGGGAATTGATGGGTAGAATGACAGGAGTTTATCTGGAAAGGGGAGGGCTTGTGTAGAGATAAGAATGGGAGCCTAGAAGGGTTGGAGGAAGAATATGTTACTAAGGCAATAATTGTCAGAGGATGGAGTTGAGAGTCCTGTTAGCAATAGGCTGTTTCTCAAACTAGACCACAAGTACGTAAGGACAATGCCAAGAGGGCTATTGGAAAACACAGAATAAACTCAGTATATCTTCTGGGCTGTTAACTTTACACGAAGATGAAGGAAGGCAAGTGGAGGAGTGAAATTTATTTATTTTCGGTATTTATTTATTTACACGGACACACACAATAGAATACAAACTTCAAGTGGAGTTAACATAAAACATGGAACAAGAGGAAAAGTCTTCTATGTAAATATTGGCCTTCCTGGCATACCACAGAGACTATTTATTCCCTATCAGGATATAAAGAGCGTTCCTACTCATTTTTATGGCGGCAAAATATTCAGTGAGTTGGTTTGAAGGTGAGGTGAGAAGGGCAGCACCAATATACCTCCTAGATCACTTGGGTTTCTTTGATAGAGAGCACAGAGGTGAGAGCCAGATTAGGCAAGATTTAGTGACAGCACAAACCACTCTCGCTTTTTCAAATTAGCATAGTGACATGACAAAGTGAAAATCTGGGTGGGGTCAGGGAGGAGTGGAGCAGAGCTGGCATGAGAGGGGTGGCTTCCCTGGGCACCAGACCCGGGACCCGAGGCAGATGGTGGGGGTCTCCACTTGGAGCAGGAGTCATTCAGCTGGTTTCCATGTTGTATTTTAATCAACAGAAACAGATGGTTTTGCTTTTACTGAGGTCTCTGTGTGCTCTTGGGGGCGCTTACTGTGTAGTAGAACATAGGAAAAAAAATCTCAAACTGGAGCCCAAACTGAAAAGAAGAAAAACATGACATTCCAATGGCAATTTTCAACATGAGAATAGGGCTATTTGCTCTTCTGATCATCTTAAAGCTATAACATTTACCTAATAATTTTAAGATGTCTGAGATCTCAGAAAGACTTTGTGTCTGATTTTCATAATAAAAACTTTTTCCTGAGCAAGGGGAGGTAAAGATAATAAAAGTCAGCTTTTTTGAATGGGCAGTAGGACATCTGTCTAAATGTAAGGTTTTCATAACTAGTTTCATGACCAGGAAGTTTCTTAATTGTGATGTTATTTTCTAATAATTACATGGTTGTGGTTTGTGCTATTAATCCACAATACATGTCCCTCTGACCAAAAAGGGAAAGAAAAAAAAAAAAGAAAGAAAGAAATGCAGATAACTTCAATGGAAGACTGCTAATTTAATCACATTAGAAAAATTAAATCTTCAATACATTTATATGCTTTTCCTTGCGCTTGATACTATGCAGGGATAGGATGATGCTAATAGAAAGGCTTAACGCTGTGCTCAGGCCTGGCTATTGGATGTGAAAACTATGAGTGGGTTTTAATGTCAACTCAACCTATTGGCGATATTTTAAGACATTTTCTTAACTAAATTTACAAATGTAGGAGTATTTTACAGTCTTAATAGTTTGCCTATTATATGTTTTATATTTATATTTAGGCTAATTTTTTTTTAATTGAAATTTTTCTTTAATACATAATATTGTCACGTGATTCAAAACTCGAAAGGTGAAGCCGGCCGAGTGGCTCAGTTGGTTAAGAGCTCACTCAAGAGCGCAAGCTCTGAGCAACAGTGGTTCGAGTCCCGGCCCAAGCTGAGCTGCCACTGAGCTACCAACAGGTGGCAGGATGGCTCAGCTAAAAAAAACAAAAAAAAAAACCTCAAAAGGTGCAAAGAGAATGTCACAAGAAGGTCTCCCTCCCACACCTGTCCTCAAGGCATTCCTTGTCTTCCCCCAGGGGCAGCTAATGTTACCCAATTCTCTTCTATCTGGCCAGAACATTTCTAGACATTTAAAAGCAAATACTTATCGGGATCTTGTACTCTTTTCCAATCAAATAGAATATACAGTGTATACATATGTTGTGCACTATGCTTTTATTTTATTTTAACTGACAACACATCACAGAGATTCTTTATAGTAAAACCTTAGAGAACCTCCTCATCCTCTCTTTATGACTGCACCATATCAGTAGTATGAATGTATTGTAGCTGAGATCCCTGCAATAAAAGAGATTAACATAAGAGAAAAACATAAGTTTATTGACATGTATATCTCATGTATACATAAGAGATACTTAGGAAAAAATTAGAAACTCCTGAGGTAGCTAGAATTCAAGATTAAATACCATCATAATAGGGAAAGGGGAGAGGGTATGTAGGCTTCTTAGGAGAGAATAAATAAGTTTTAGGAAAGATGAACAGGGCCCTTAGAAAATATATGGGAGGTGCGATCGTTTGTGACAAAGTTTGGGTGTGGTGTGGACTTCCAGTCCTCTTCTGAGATATAAGCCAATCTTCCCTGGTTGCTGAAGTTCCCATGAGGGGATTTATGACAAATCACGGGGGAGTTCAGAGAAAGCCTCTCCCTGTGTTTGTTATTTTTCAAGTGCCTTCAGCTCAAAATAATCCATATGCCAAAGTGGCATATTTTGGGGTGGCTTGTTCTGCTACCTTTCAATATCATATTTTATTTAACCATTCCCTTAAAAAATAAATGTTTAAAATATTTTTAATCATAAGCAATTTCAAAAATGATGCAATGAATAACCTCGTCTATACGTTATCCTCAGATGCACTGGTATGCTTAGATAACTTCTTGGGTGTAGAATTGTTAGAGTATATCTTTTTTTTTTTTTTTTTTTTTTTTTTTTTTTTTTTTTTTTTAGCTGAGCCATCCTGCCACCTGTTGGCAGCTCAGCGGCAACTCAGATCGGGTTGGGCATTGAACCATTGTTGCTCAGAGCTTACACTCTTGCGCGAGCTCTTAACCAACTGAGCCATTCGGCCGGACCTTTAGAGTATATCTATTTTTTAATGTTGAAAGATATTTATCAATTATTTAGTCATTTATTGTGCAAATATGGCTATGACAAAGGCGGAAAGGAAGAATGCTCCTTTCCTGGGGACTCTGGGGTTTGAAAAGCCTCAAAGTTTTCTGAAAATATTGTATATTCTATTTTTCTAATATTGCTTGGAGATCAGAGTTATGCCCTGCTCAGCTCTCACTAAGGCACCTTGTAGTCACATTTCTGCTTTGAGACTAATGACAGGTATTTGGGTTTCGTAGGAGCTGATGACCATTTTCCAACTCTTACACTGGAATGGAAGCCTAAAAGCTCTTCGTGAAACGAAGTGTTCCCGACAGGTGAGCTTTTCCAGTCCACAATGGCTTTGTGCTCTATGGAAGGCGCAGATGGCGCATCATCTTCCTGGGAGGTTTCCTTTACTTGGATATTTATTTTTTTCTGTTTAAATTTGGTACTGTATGTATTGAGTAAGAGCAGAGGACACATGAAAAAATATGTATAACAGTCCAGTTTAGTGAGGGACTGACCGAATATGCACATTAAGGGAAACGCTGGCTGGGCATTGGACTGATTTAGAGTCTCATACTGAATGTCAAAATGGGAGGATCGTTCAGACAGACTTCGTTTCTAAGGTAAATACTGAATGTAGTCTATGCATCTGCCCTGCTTAGAATGTGCAACCTCCTCCACTCTCCAATGGAAATGTGAGAATACACGGCTTGGGGATCTCCTCACTAAGGAGAGGTAAAGTTGGTTGCAGGGAGGATTTTTCTCACTCTCACCAAATGGTCCACAAAGAACAACAGAAATGATTATAAAGGTGGGCAAGCTGGCATTCAATCACCCCAATTTGGGGGGTTGGAAGTTTCTTATTTATTTTGCAGAGACGGGGTCTATTTCTTTGCTACTTATGAAAAGCACCTGCCCCCCACACACACACTCCCACCTTTTAATGGCAGATTCCCTTCTGTGTATTTAATGGTTTTCACCTATTATCCTCCAATATTCATCCTTCCTTTACCCATCATTAGACTTTGAAATATGGTAGTTTATTTTTGAGAATTTGCTAACAGGAATTTGTATGAGGCACAAAGCCTTTGCTAGTCAGCAGATGAAGGTGGATGTAAGAGTTTTGCAGGCACTGCCGCCCTAGGAGTTTTTAGTTGTTCTTTGCTTATAAGGTCTGGCTTTCAAAATGTCAGAGATGGAAAAGAAATGAGTAGCTGACAATGGCTTTGGTTATTTTTTCTTTTCCTTTGATTTTATAAAAGATCTTTGAAATATGCCGGGTCGATTATAAGCACTTTTCCATGATTGTTTTTAATTTGTTAAGGTTATAAATAAATACCATATGTTCTTGAAAATAAAAATAAGCAATGCATCCACCCCACAAGATCTTCTTAAAGTACTTCATCAAACCTACACATGATGTTACAATGTATTGGCAAATTTTTCACACAAGAATTGACAGGTAGTGACTGATTTTTAATTGTTTGCAGAAGTAATAGACAATGTACAGGAAGGTACCATGATGATATCAGTAATAATGCCTACATTTTATAATACAATTTTAAAGTTCTTTCTGTAGTTTCTGTGAGCCATTTGGATGGCCATCTTCCTTATGCTAACAGCACATATTTTCTAATGAGGTCAGAGCAGTTTTGTGAGCGTTATTGAGTCTTCCAGTTAGTGTTTTGACTCTGACCAGGTGTGACTTTGCTTTGCTGTACCAGCTTAGCCACTCATTTCCTTTAACAAGTATGTCAGGATATTTGGCTTCAGTCTGTGAACACCAGAGAGGCTTAGGTGTAGTTAAAACCCCCATGGATGTGGGAGTGGCAGAGGCAAAGGAAACAGGGTGTCGTCAGAAGGCCATGAGCACGGGTGCCTTGAATGATCTTTACTGACACTCTGGACTTTGTCTCTTGACTCCCAGGAAGTCATCTCCTACTATTCCCAGTATTCCCTGGATGAGAAGATGCGCAGCCACATGGCCCTGGACTGGATCATGAAGGAGAGGGAGTCACCGGGAATTCTCTCTCAAGAGCTACGAATGGCCCTGCGGGAGTTGGAGGAAGCCAGAAAAGCAGGACAAGAACTACGGTTTTACAAAGAAAAGAAGGAAATTCTGAGTTTAGCCCTGACTCAGATCTACAGCGATCCTGACACCTCCTCACCCAGCGATGACCAGCTGAGCCTCACAGCCCTTTGTGGCTATCACTAGCAAGGCCAGGTTCCTCCAACCCCCAAAGATGGCAGAGGCCAGACTGTAAGATTAGGAAGCTCATAAAGCAGGTCATTGGAGGCTTTAGCACCTAGATAGCTAATACCTGAAGGCTGTACTAATTCTCCCCTCCCATTCCATTCACAGAATCTGAGAGTAGTAGGACCCTTAACGGGTCCAATCGCCCTTTTCCCATCATGCTCTTTATAGTTCCACCTCAGAACGAAAGGATGGAGACAGGATGGTTTGAAAAATGTTTTCCAGCCCTGGCTCCAACCAAAAGCCCGGTTGACATGTGCCTTGCTAGATTACATATGTTGTTTCAAAGAATGGGTCATTGTAGCATCCCTCAAGAGAGCATCAGCCATGATTGGAGGAGGTAGCATGATAGCAGTTTTTAAGAATACATGGGATTAAACAATATGGATTGTTGTTGTTTTTAAGTATCCAAGAGTCAGAATTACTTCCTAAAATTTGTAAGCTGAAAGATAGCTTACACTCTAGTGCTGTAATCCAGAACTATAGTGGGGATTTTCTCTGCACATTTCACTATCCAAGATCTCAAAGGGGTGATAGTATGAAGATACCAGAAAATGTTTAATGTGGCTTAAAATGCAATTGTCATAATAATTTTTAAAAATCCACACTCTCCCATATGGGCATAAATGTCACTACAATAGAACCCTCATATTCCTCAAGAAGAATTAATGTCCAATTTTTATGAGTCCTGTAGTCAATCATGTTCATTTGTAATTTGCAAATAGATAACTTAAATTGATTTGTTTTTATTTTTGCCACCTCAGTCATATATC